ATTCTAGGGAACAGCAAGAGGAGTATCTTTAGGAGATTCTTGGAGTGTTGAGGAGGGAGTGACTTTACGCCAAATTATCCAAGTGTGATTTCTGGTTACGGGAGGTCCAGTTCTTGGGAGACCTCGTTAATTAGAACGGGATTTTAGTCGAACCGGCCAAGATTGAGGTGATTATGCAGTGGGAGGTACCGAGATCCCCATCTGAGATCAGAAGTTTTCTTGGCCTAGCGGGTTATTATGGGAGATTTATCAGGGATTTCTCCAAGATTGTTGTTCCTTTCACCAAATTGTCCAGGAAGGGTGTTGTTTTTGCTTGGGGCCTGAGTAGAAAGCATCATTCAAGACTCTTTGTCAGAGGTTATGTGAGGCTCCAGTGCTAGCCCTCCCGTAAGGAATGTAGGACTTCGTAGTCTACTGCGATGCATCCATAACGGGATTGGGTGTTGTGTTGATGTAGAGGGGCACGTGATAGCATATGCGTCGAGGTAGCTAAAGCCTCACGAGAGGAGATATCACACGCATGATTTGGAGCTGGGGGTGGTGGTATGCATCCTCAAGATTTAGCGTCACTATCTCTATGGTGTCCGATGTACCATATGCATAGATCATTAGAGCCTGAGGTACCTTATGGATTCGCCCAACCTGAATATGAGACAAAGGAGGTGGTTGGATGTAGTGGAGGACTACGATTGTGATATTTTGTATCATCCAGGCAAGGCTAATGTGGTAGCTGATGCCCTGAGTCGTAGAGAAGCGAGTGATCTAATTCAAGATGTGTGTATGAGGATGACGGTGATGACTCCAGTCTTAGATGTCATCCGAGAGGCCCAAGCGGTGGCTATGAGACTAGAGAACCACAAGAGAGAGCGGGTGATCGGGCAGATTTCTAAGTTTGAGACAGATAGTCAGGGGCTTATGATCTTCCATGGGCGGACATGGGTGCCATATAGGGGGGGGGGGGGGGGGCTTGACAGATTTTGATGGGGGAGGCCCATAAGTTGAGGTTTTCCATTTACCTTGGGGCCACGAAGATGTACTTGGATTTGAAACACGATTATTGATGGCCCTGTATGAAGAGATTTGTGGCTTGGGTTGTTGAGAGATGTTTGACTTGTTGCACGGTCAAGGCAGAGCACCAACACCCTCATGGCAAGTTGCAGCCTCTAGAGGTTCCTCTATAGAAGTGGGTACAGATCTCCATGAATTTTATTACCAACTTGTTGAGGACTACGAGTGGTCTGGATACGATCTGGGTGATTGTAGAATGATTGACAAAGAGTGCTCACTTCCTGGCTATAAGTGAGAACTCTTCTGCAGAGAAGTTTGCAGATGTTTACGTTTGAGAGGAGGTGGCTCGACACAGAGTGTTGACATTGATAGTCTCTAACCGTGATGTGTGTTTTACATCCAATTTTTGGAAGAAAATTCATGAGGATTTAGGTACCCGGATTCATTTTAGCACCGCATACCATCCACGGGAAGACGGGCAGAGTGAGCGAGTGATTCAGACGCTCGAGGATATGTTACACGCTAGTGTTATGGACTTTGGTGGGAGTTGGGATTCCTATCTGCCTTTGGATGAGTTTTCATACAACAAAAACTATCACTCCAGCATTGGGATGCCTCCCTTTGAGCTCTGATATGAGAGGAGATGTCGGACTCCTATCTGTTAGGGGAGGTCGTACAGAGAGTGATGGGGAGCACAGACATAGTTCTCATGATGATAGAGGAAATCCAGTAGGTTAGACAGAGGTTGCGGACAGCCCATAGTCGTTAGAAGAGTTACATAGATCGAAGGCGTTCTGAGCTAGAGTTCCAGGTCGGCGACTTTGTTCTCCTGAAGGTATCCCCATGGAAAGGGGTGATCCAATTTAGGAAGCGGGGTAAGCTGGGACCTAGATTCATTGGTCCTTTTACGGTGATTATCCGGGTAGGTAAGGTAGCGTATCATTTAGAGCTGCCTGAGGGGTTGAGCCAGATTCATACAACATTCCATGTATCCCAGCTGAGGAAGTGTGTAGCCGACGAGATCGTAGTGGTTCCTTTAGAGGACATTCAGTTTGATGATCGCCTGAACTATATTGAGAGGTAGGTAGCAATATTAGATAGGAAAGTAAGTAACTTGAGGAACAAGGAGGTGCACTTGGTTAAATTTCAGTGGTAGCATCGTAGAGGTTCGAAGTGGACTTAGGAGATGGAGTCCGAGATGCACGAGCACTATCCAGAGCTGTTTCCAGATGATGACTTCGAGGTCGATGTTTGATCCTTGTGGGGGAGAATTATAACATCCCAAAATAAGTTATGCATCGATGAACCTAAATTTTATTGCACTTGACAAGATTAGTCCTTATTGAGAAAATGTGGCAACTGAGTACGCAAGGTGTACGCATGTGTACGTTCAACATACTCATGTGTTTAGAAGGAACGGGGAGGCCACCTAGTACGATGGGAGTACCAGAGGGTATGCTGGGCGCACTAGGCTTAGAGTGTAAACCCTAAATGTCTTGTGTGTTCTATTTAAGGAACATGATGGCCTCATTTCCAGCCACCAAGTCCCCTCAAACCCTAAATCCTGTTTCCATATCTCGTGTGAGCATTTGTGGCTTAATGAGTGTTCTTGTGGAGCTCTTTTGTAAAGGAGGACACTTGAATGAAGAAGAGTTAGTGTCCAAGATTTTGGATCTGAGTTTTTCTATGGTCAGTGCATCATCCAGATGTATCAAGCTCAAATCTTTCTCATTGTTTTGGTTAGTTCATGTTTTGGTCCATTTTTAAGGTTTTATGTCCTAAGTTTGGAGCTTTATGAGTTTGATGAACTCCAGAGCATAATACTTGTCCTTGTAGGTGTTTTTAGTCATTTGGATTCATAAAAATGAGATCTTGGTCGTCAAGATCTCTCCATGCATGAGGTATGAGGACCTTTGCGAGTAAAGGATTAGAGTTTATGAGTTTTGGACTTGTCCAACCATGCTAAGGCTTAGAGTCACCAACTTTGTGAAGTAATAGGCTCTAGTTAGCCCAGATCTGAGATTGTAGCAATTGTCTTGACGAATTAAGACCAGGAGAGTAAGAAAAGTGAGTCTGGAACATACGTCGTGCCTACCCGCAGTGCGCACAACGTAGCCCAGAGTCCACCCCGATGAATGCATGACCAGTTGTACGCCTAAAGTAGAGGGTTGTACGCACAACGTACGAGCTGGGTGTTGATTTCCGTTGAGTTTTAAGGTTTTGGTCAAGTGGTGGACTTTGGAGACCATGGAGGGGTACAATGGTCTTTTACCATTCTAAGGTTTGGTAGAGAAACCTATCCAAAATTTTTGAGGGTTGTTAATATCAATTCTTAATTAGAAGTATATGTGACATACGTTAGGCGAAATCTAGGCCGACATTTTGGGTGTGGGATTTACTTGCTTTACCTTACAAGGTGAGTCTTCTTACTATATTTACCTGTGTGGTAATGCATGAGTGACCGGAGGGTCTTATTTGTGTTATTGACCGGAGGTCTTATTTATGTTGTTGATCGGAGGGTCTTAGTTATATTATTGACCGGATGGTCTTATTTGTGTTACTGACCATAAGGTTTTATCTGCTTTATGTGTTATTATGCATTTTGTCTTTGTGACTCATGCTGTTATATTATTCCGTATATATGTTGAGCTATGACCGTGGGGTCCATACGAGTCGTGAGACCGGATGGTCTTCACTGAGACACATGACAGAGGGTCCTTATTGAGATATAGCCATGAGAGGCTAATTATTTGTGTATGTGGTATATTGGAGAACTCACTAAACTTTTTGCTTACAATGTTTGTGTAAAATGTGTTCCAGGTACATCTCAAGATCGCAGGAAGGTGCCGACATGATTGTACACACTAGCTTGATGATTTGTGTTTATGTGGATTTTATCAAGCCTCAAGCTTAACCCAATGCACTCTAGGGTTTCATGACGCAAAAGAGGGTGGAGGCTGACCTAAACTGACCCAAGGAAGGACATAATGTTGCTTATATATGGTAGGAACCCCAAAATTAGGGTTTTGGTCTGATGGGAGTACGCCTGGTGTACATCTTAGTACGCCTGGTGTACTCACAAGCCACCGGCGACCACTTAGCCTTTTACGCTAAGTGTACCCCATCTTACGTTGGGTGTACCCATCCAAACACGCGCATGCATCCTTGCATGCATGGGATTGATCTGCCAAATATTTCCGTTAGAGACCAATTCTGCCAAAACCTTCAACGTACAATAACTCCCTCATTATAGGTCCATTTCCAACGAACCTTATATCCACGAAAAGGTGGTGAGAAGCCCTACGCTCCTAATAACTCATCCAAGCCTCAAAACCTTCTCGAATTAAACCCAAAATCCATAAAATACCAAGATACCCAATTACAATCATATCCTTAGCTCCAAAGACACACTCGAATATTTGGATTACTTATACCAGGGCAATTGATGACTTGGTCGCAGCCCTTAGCAATGGAGGGATTCAGGAACAAAGTGTTACAATAAGTGTCTGCTGCACAATCCATTCCACTATTCACAGAGTCCATTGCAACAACAACCAAAACCACTAATTCACCACCAGTAACTATCAACGTATCTGATAAAGAGGGATTTGCTTCTGGTGTCTCTTTTGGTGCTTATTTCACTCTCATCTTACCCCTTGTACATGATGATCCTGATACAATGTTCGGTGATGATCAGGATGTTTTTCAAGACTTTCACTACAGTCCGTTCCATGTTCATCAATCCGGTGGTGATGAGGATGATGCCCCCATGACCAAACGTCAGTTCAAGATACTTCAAGACAATCTGGATTACTTGCTTGAATCATCCAAGTCTTCCTCCAGCTTAGAATACTCTATTGAGTCACACAAAGCTTTTCTCGAAACTTTAAAGAAATAGCATGTTGCGAACATTCCAAAAAAAAACAAAGATATCGAGGATTCACATAATACTTGCAAGGAAACGACTAAAAAAGTCGAAAAACTACTCTCTGATGTTCAAACCTTCATGGGTGATTTCAAAACTTCTTTTGAATCAAACACTGTTGTACCAAATAAGGTTATCACCAGCCTTGGTTTGCCCCTCCAAACGGAAAAAAGAAGCTCTTAAGAAGGTTCGTTCTGGCATCCAGGCTGATAATGCAAAGCTACAAACTTCGATCTCTTCCAAGATTGAAAAGCTTCAAGCCGATCTTGCTATTAAGAATGTTCTCATGGATAAGCTTTCCATCAAAACAGAAAAGGAGAAAGTTGTTTCTACCCATCTCTCTCATGCCAACAAGGAGATTGAAGACCTAAAGTCTGAAAAAGCTATAATCAAGAGATGTGTTGCTGATGTTAATGCTCACATGCATAATCTCATCAAGACTCGTGATTCTCTTCTCACGGTCTCTGTTCGTCAGCACCTTGCTCAGAAACTGAAGCCCATATTCTCCATGCTTGACCGAATTTAGGGTGTTTCAGAATCATCTATTCTAAAACAAGGGAAGAATCGGGGAAAACTTCAGTTGGTGGCAAAGCAACTGATGGTGGTGATGAGCATGAACAAAAACCACCTAAGGTAAAAGATCCGAAGGATAATGTAGCTTCGGCATCAAGAGGAAAAGAAAATTTGGATGACGATAGTGATGAGGAAGAAGAAGATGAAAATGAAAAGTTAAGATGCAAGGTTCGTCACACAGAAATTGACAAAAATTATCGGAATGTCCGTGAAGCCGAAGAAAAAGAAAGGAAAGATCGTAAATCCTAAGTTACTCTGGAAACTCAAAAGCTTCTTTTTCCCGCCTAGTCTACTAAGAGTATCATGAACAAATCCATTGATAATCCAAGTGTTTACTGGCTGGAGCCAATTACTTTTTTTGAATTAGAAAACACTTTGGATTCGCAGCTTGATTTTCCCATGACTCCGAAGGTGTTCTTGTTTCGCAGTTTTGACAGAGTTGAGAATGCTCTTGAGTTTCATAACGATGTCAATTTGATGCTTATCTCCTTTTATCTAAATCATGGCAAACCACAATATCAAACCTGGATTTCAAAGAAGATTACAACAATGAAGGTTGTTCGGCTAATTGAAACCGAAAGCTTCCTCAATGCTCGGTTTAAGACTGCTCGAGGTGTTGTGAGTTTGGTGTTTGAATTTACACTCGCAGATCTACTGTGCCTCAATCCTTATGAATGGATATCTCTTATTCATCTCCTGCTTAAGGATGAACAAAAATACGAACCTATTGTGGTGCATCTCAAGAGGATGTTGGTCTCGTACATCCTTGAAGTCGGCAAAATGGATGTAGAGATTGCAACAATGCTCCGAAAGAAACCAATTGTCAAACCCAAGAAAGATTCGTTCGATGTCTACAAGGTGAAGCTTGGAAAGATTTTTAAAGATGAATGGAGTTTGGTTTTTCAACAGAGTGCCAGAGATGGTTCAAATTCTCAAAGATGTTTCTTCACTCTTTCGGATAAGCATCTTTACTCCACTTCTTGTTTGAACTACATTTTGTAATTAATCGAGAAAGCAAAAGCAAACGATGCTGCAAGTAAGAAATGTTTTGCAGACATGATCAGATGGTACATTGCAGTTTGCACCACTCTACTCAGTCTCATGCCAAAGCTCTTCAAGGTCCAAAAGCGGCAGCAAAACTGAAGAATCCGTCTTCCTTATTGACACAAAGGGGGAGATTGTTGGGATATTTTGTGTTGTGTCAATAATGTTTTGTACTATAATATTCCATTTGTAACGGGTTGGGCATGTCCACCTGATATTTAATCTTTGTAGGGTTAGACTATATATAGTGCATGCATGCACCGTATTAGGGTATCGAATGTACTTAGCCCTATTTTCCTTTACATTAAAAGTTCTTCATCGAGCTCTTCTAAGGCAATTATTATTAATCATTCGACACCAGTTTGATCATTGCTTTCATTGTTTGTATTTACTTTTCTGTTAAGAATCTTTTGATCAACTCTTATTTATTCTAACACGGATGAGAGTTAGAGAGGATGACATTGAAAAGACAGCCTTTCAGACTCGATATGGTCATTATGAGTTCGTGGTGATGTGATTTGGTCTTACCAATGCACCGATAACATTCATGGATTTGATGAATCGTGTGTGTAGGCTGATGCTCGATCGATTATTTTAACATGTTTATTGATGGTATTTTGGTTTAATCCAAGGCCAAGGAGCAGCATGAGGATCATCTGCGGGAGATTCTAAGAGTTTCGAGGAAGTAGAGAATGTATGTTAAATTCTCCAAGTGTGCATTTTGGTTGCGAGAGGTTCAGTTTCTAGGACATCTCTCCAACTAGAATAAAATTTTGGTTGATCCGGACAAGATCGAGACAGTGATGCAGTGGGATGTCACAAAGTCTACATCTGAGATCCAGAGTTTCCTTGCGTTGGTAGCTTACCACATGAGATTTATTCAAGATTTCTCCAATATTAGTGGGATAAACATATCCCACTATATATAAAAAAACGTTATATAATAGTTATTGTTACAATGTTCCAATATCCAAATATTATATCCAAATAAAATCCCATTTCTATAATAATAAAGTTGTATAGCTGAAGTGTGACCATTTAGACTTAGCTCAAAAAGAATGAATTTTTCAATGGGTCTTGCTAAATTTGATTTTTGTGAATTCTTTGAATATTATCATATCCATATTTGACTTTACTCTAAGTATATTTAAATATCTTGGTGAATATGATTGGTGTTCTGATGTGACATAGAGTCTCTTAGCTTGATTAAGTATACTCTCGAATCTTAAAGTCATAAAGATTTATATGTGATTCTAGAATGGTAGAAATTAACATAGTTTTTCAATGAACTTATTCATCTAGTCATATTTGATTTCAACTTCTAAAGTAGCCTATTCTGATTTTGTAGTAGACTGTTCTATGTATTCTTCATTCCATAATGAAGTAAAAATCCTGTTATAATTCATAAATATATCATTTTGTTTTGAATTCGACTTCTTGTTTATCTCTTTACATGGATATTTTCTTCCAAACTGATTATCTCGCATAAATTACTTAGTTCTTCTAATGTACTCTTAGAATGTACTTATAGTCTCGAGTGGCTTAAACCATGCATCCAGCTTGTATCTTGTGATATGTTCATAGCATTATCACATACCTAGTCTTGTACATAACATGACATAAATGGTGGATTCATTTGCCAATCAAATAGAAAATCATAAACTAAATGAGATTCTTTGAAAATATATAAACTAAAAGTAGGATAAAAACCCATGAAAAACCTCTTTTTTTTCTCTTATATTCTCAAAGTTTTTTAAAGAAAACACCAAATCAGTGTTTACAAACAACTTAAATGAAGTTGTATACGAAAAATCATCAATTAAAAAAATGATTTTCCTTGATAATGAGCAAACAAAAGAGGTAAAGACTTGTAAAAACAAAATTCTTTTCTCCTCCACAGGTTGCTGAAAAAAATCACTAAAATGTGAACGAAAAAAGCTCTGAAATTTTTTTCGTTTTCCTTCAAGCTTCTAAAAGAAACACCAAATAAACAACTTGGTAAAATGTACAAACATACCAGTTGTGCTTACAAATAGTTGTTGCAGGGAGTGTAAATGAAAATAGATCTAAAAACTGAACATATTTTGAGATATGAGCTTAAAAACGAAGATACATCTAAAATGTCTTTGCAAGCTTCTTGAATGCTTAAATAAGCTAAAAACTGAACAGATCTTGAGATCTAAGCTTAAAAACGAAGGCGTATCTAGAGATCTGAACTGAAAATGAAGTAGATATTGAGATTTAAACGATGGTAAGACAGATCTGAATAGATCATGATAAGAACCAAGCGGATCTGATCAGATGATGGTAGACATGACAGATCTGAGCAAACCTGATGTGCAAATGCAACATATTTAGACAAAAATGAGCTTTAGACCAACTAAGATGGTGGTTGCTCGTTCGTGTCTGGGATGACGCCAAATGATGTGACCTAGTTCCCTAATAAATGCAACAGATCCTTAAATGTAATCACGAGTCCACATATTAAAGACAAAAAATCAATTATAATCATGTATAAATAAGAATGAGTTGCATTGTGTTGAATCCTCTCTAATAAATTAAAGTTTTTTTTTTTTTTGCTACATGTTTTCTTTTCTTTTATTTTGTCACGTGACTTTTTTTTGGTTTTTTCATTTTCTTATTTTTCACTTGTCATTTATTAAGGTTTTTCATTCTTACATTAAGTTTTCAGAATTTACGGGTATATATATATATATATATATATATATATATATATATATATATATATATATATATATAGAATGTTCTCATTCTATTAATATAAGATTATCGTTTTATTAATTTGAGATATAAACTTATTGATTTACTTTTATTTTTTATTACTTTATAAAATGTTTAATGTTTCCATTTTGATATTAAACTATTTATTTTTAATAAACACGTATAATACACAGGTATTACACATATTAAATATTATTCTTTCAATAATTAGTTTATATATTATAGTGTTAAGGACTCCAAAATTCAGAAAGATATTAAACCCTATTTATTTATGAATATGACGTTTGTCATGTTTTATTACTTATGAATAAAATTGTATTCAACTACATTTTATTCATTTTTTATTCAATTCAAAAATAAATAAACAAATATGTACAATATATAATATATTCTTTGTTTATATCACCATATTTATTTTATAATAATAGCGAATTTTTTATTTGTGAATAAGAATTGAAACTCAATTTTTTTATAACGCAACTTCTATAATTAGACAATCAAAGAAAGTTTTGTTACGCGTAGCTAAATTAATGGAATAAATGTTACAAACCATATAATTAAGAATATGTTGTTTATTATTTATATTAACCATTCTTACCATCTCTTTCTCTTTCTCTCTCTCTCTCTCTCTCTCTCTATATATATATATATATATATATATATATATATATATATATATATATATATATATATACACTCTAATAAATAATTTTTTTTTTCTACATATAACACTCTCTTTCATTTTGTGGTTATTTTAAATTAAAATTTTCCACATATCATTTTATGGTCTTTTTCCATTTTATTAAATTTTATATAGTATTTAAATGTAATAATTATAATAGATATAATAATAAATGTATATCAATTTCATTAATGCAAGTTTCCTTCTAATTTCAAAACTATTAAATTAAAGCTTCATTATTTCATTTTATTTGTTTATTTAAATTAGTTTTTTCTTTAAAAAATACTTGCATAATACACGGGTTTCACAACTTGTGTATGTGTGTGATATATATATATATATATATATATATATATATATATATATATATATATATATATATATAGACACACACAACACATCCTATTATACTCCATTTTATGCTTACTTTTCTCATCATGATACTCAAACAATAATTTCTCTTATCTTAGGGAAAATGACTCTTGAGGGTAACTAACTGTTAAGTTTGTTCTCATTTGATACATTTCCTTTTTTGTACTCAATATAACATCGAACTTCTTGTTTGTGTTCACTATAACCCTTTTCACCGCTTTTGGCATGTGATAGCCGGTCCAAGGGTTACGGTGAACACAAACAACAAATTCGATGGTATATTGAGTACACCAAAAAGTAAAGGGACCAAATGAGAACAAATGCAATAATTGGTTACCCTCCTGATTCATTGGGATTACCCAAACGATTTGGATCAAGCAAGCTCTACATTGTAACCCTATTACAATGAAAAACCTTGAAAACCAAAAGGACATAAGTGCATGTATATGGATGTATACACTTTGGAAATCATTTATAAGATGACCTCTTAAAGTAAACAAGTTTATCAAGACAAAACTAGACAAATAAATTGGAGTAGGAATCATGGATTTAAAAGATTATCTATTAGTATTTAGCCTAGTATCCCACCCACCTTATAACATTAAAGGCCATAAGAACAATGACTTAAGCTAACATAAATGTATATAAATATGTGTGAAAAAAACTTTGTGGCACCACGTTTAAATGCATTCTTGACAAGTCAACAAGATAGCGCCCCATAAGCATTTCCTTTATGAATTAGGGCCTAGAACTCCACTATGGTCGAAAAAAACCCATGTGGGGACAAGATAGAACTGAAAAACCCTTCCATGGAGGACCTTAAGACCGCAAACACCCTCAAAGCTAAGCACTTTGGTCGAAAACTACACTAGTGGATTAAAGTTTGGCAGTAAACACCTTAATAGGCCATAGTTTGGCCGTAAACTCCCTTCCTAGAGCCATTAGGACCGATATCCCCAAGGGATGGGGTGATTTCGGTCACAATAAAGTGTTCCCAAGAAGTTTTACGACCTAGAGTGTGAATAAGACGAAAACAGTTGACTTTAGGATGTGATTTCACCCCTATTTCCAATGCACTCACAATAACCCATGTAAGACCTGCCAAATAACAATGTTTTAACCAATAGATTTCCGAGCATATATCCCATATTTTCTTTCATCCTTAACCACGATGACAAGCCATTACAAACCTCCACCATTTCTCTTATTCTCCAACTTCACTCTTGTTCTCTCAAATTTTCCTCTCATGAACAAGAGTAAGGATTTGCTAAAGGCTTATTTCTTCAAGTATCATTCTTAAATCTTGGTAAGTATTTTTCAAGATATACTAGTAATCCTACACCTTATTATGTGATTTCATCATATTTACACATAATATTATGTGTTAACATCCTTAGGGTAACATAAGCTTCAAAGAGTTCACCAAACACTTCAAGTGTTTTAGACTTGAAGTCTTCAATTCATCACTTCAAATCAGCCACCAAATCAAACCAAGGTGATCTTCATACCCCCATATTTTTGGTAATTTTTCATGTTTTCGGGGGGGGGGGGGGGGGGGAGGAGGATACAAGTCAAATCTCGTTTAACCATTGGAATTTGCATGTACCTATGTGTATTATGTTTAATATTTGGGTAATTACATGCATCTTATATATTGTGTTGAAAATGGAACAAATTCTTAGGTAATAAGGTTTTTATCATGTTTTAACTACACAAAAAATCATGGTGTACTTGTTTGACAACATAATTATTACACAAAACTTTCACGATTATTATATGAATTTTGTAGAAATCGTGACTTGCTAGATTCACAACAAGTTAGAATATTTTGTGTTACAAAGTTCTCAAACTAATTTTTGGTGAAAAAAACAAACTACCAAACTTGACATTTTGCTAAAATTAACTTTATGGGTAAAATATTTTTAACTATATTGTCACTACTTTTAGATGGATTAAAACTTGAGAAATTATGCTATATGACATGTTCACTAAGGATTATTTACAAAAAGTATTATAAATAATATAACTAAAATGATATACAAAACAGAAGTTATGACAGAAAAGTCGTCAGTCATAATATGTCTATCATAAAACTTTCAGAGCATGAGTAATAATCTGCATCTCATAAAACGCGTGTCGTAATCTGAATAATATGAACCTGCCAACCGCTTGTCATAAAACATCTGTCACGAGCTTGCAATAGAAAAGTTATTTCTTTATTCGAAAAAGGGACTCGAAATTCGCGTAAATCTGTTAAGGCTCTTGTGAGACTTTCCTTCATCATACCTACCTAGCGTACACCGTAACTCCTGTAGTTATAACCAGAGTCTCCTGGAGGGAGAGCGATGTAACTGTGTATAATTCTATACGAGATTGACACTTCCACGCCTGAGTTGTTCGCTACAGCTAGACGGGGCCAGTCTAGGGTGACAAATATCTTACCAAAACCGACGCCTGAAAAACATCATGACAGGCATATCAGTCACATCAATCATGGTTGTAATGACTCACATAGGGATTAACGAAATGATTTTGGTTTACGGGATGCTTATACTTCATTAGTTTTATTCAAAGAAATGAAACTATAAACTACTTTATGTATGATATTCACTTCCATCGTTGTCTTAGGGTTTAAGACCACAGTTCACCTTTAAGAAAACACTGCATTTTCTGGAAATATATATTATTACTTTATAAGGAAAAGATACAAAGGGACTACTTTCAATTTCACTTCATATTAATGAAAATATTGGATTTTCTGGGAACACACTCTTTACAAATATAAACAAAAGAAAACAAAGGACATGCATGCATATATTCACGGTTTTAGAACGAGACTCCAAATCATTTTCATAGAAAATATCGGATTTTCTGAAAGTACTACGAGAACTATTCTAAAGAAGTGCAAAACCATTTTATACAAAAATGTTTATGAACTCACTAACTTTTTAGTTGGTGCTTTTCAAAATTACTTGTATTCTTAGGGGACCAGTAGACAGGTACTCAACCCTTCATGAGGGTCGGCGTCGTCATTTCATGTTTTTCTTACTTTTCAGTTATTTGTATTTGTCTTTTGAACAACTGAGTTTTGTAAACAATGTAATACTTGAAATCGCAATGTATGAATGTTTGTTTTTCTAAGTTTCATTACTATTTAATTGTTATGATACTATACATGAAGTCAATCCATCCGCCCTCAGACGTTTTTGTCATTCTGGTTTGTGGGTGTAACATTCATTTTCCCTTTACTTATTTACAGAAAATCTCACGTCATCTCCTGCTAATATTAATGACTTTATGAGATTCATTCTTGTTTATCTTCAAAACATAACCCATGAAAGAACAATTATCATACATGTTCAACTTAGTAATGCACTTGAATATTTATTCGGGGAATGTTTATTAAGCAGATGTATTTCATGACTACATTTACATTTCCAATCAAATGATTTATCGTATCATTGATTCTAGACAAGTCTACAAACGAGTGGAATCACAAGTGCTGAGATTTTTTAGTTTACTTAGCTTTAAGATCGAATTTATGGGATAAGATACAACATCAATATGTACAATATCATACAGCTTTTGCAGACACATCATCATAATATACCTTGAGGTAAACGTTTATATTGATAACTATACCTCTCATACACAGTTATATCTTTTTGCAGAGAGGTGTTGACAGCTAACCACAGTAAGCATAACATAGACCATGTTTTAACAAAGTTACCCCTCTGAAACGCTCTTCATATACGTTATGGCCAAAGAAGTAGTGGTGTAGCTACTTATGCTCAAGGTAGGTCCTAGGACCTACATTTTTTTTTTTTGTAATACAAGTATATATAAAAAAAAATTAAGGAAGCTACCTTATTTTTGTCAAAAGACTTAGCTTTTCATATATTTTTCAATTTTATTTACATAAGGAACCATGTGGTTTTTGGTTCTAGATTCGTCACTGCAAAGAAATTTGTAGTCTTTGATAATTTTGCAACTTTAATTTCATTTAACTTTTCTAGGAAAATAACTCACGAGGGTAACCAGCTATTGAGTTTGTTCTCATTTAGTCTCTTTCATTTTTGTAGTCAATATTCCATAAAACTTGTTGTTTGTGTTCACCATAACCCTTTGATCGATTATTACAGGTCAAAAGTGGGTCAAAAGTGTTACGGTGAAAACAAATAACAAGTTTGATGATATATTGAGCAAAAAAAAAGCAACATTTAGTTACATCATAAGTCATTTTTCCCTTATTTTATTATAACTTAATCATTATTGATTTTATTATTTAATAATTATATTTTATTACCAACTAGTTAATTATATTACTTTTTTGTATTTAAATATTTTATTTCAAACTTATTTTTTCAGATATGCGATTATACGACATTAATCATTAAATACATTATATAGTAAATTACAAAATGGAATTACGACGTAATAGAAAAAATATTTACTTGATTTTTCAGTTTTGTTGTTTTTGTCTTGATCTCATTTTTTTCTAAGTTAAGAAAAACATATAAAAACAAAATAATAATGACCATGGTTTCTTTAAAGTACTTATAATATGTATCTCAGCGTATTATTTCATTCATTGAAAATTCTCAAAAAAAAAGGGTTTAAATTATGATTTTGTGATTTAAAAAAAATAATTAAAATTTTCATCACACGATGTATTTAATTTAGAGTTCGACGATTTATTTAATTTGGAGTTTATTTTTTGTTAATAAGTTTTTATATTGGGCAAATGTCATATTAGTCCATCGAAGTTTCTTGATTTGGTCACTAATTTTTTTTTTTTTTTTTTTTTCACAATTGATCCCTAAAGTGTCATTTTATCTGTTAAATAAATCATTTTACTCAAATTTAGCAGGTAACCCGGTAACAATGCTGATGTGGCTTTAATAATTATTTTTATGTAGCCATGTCATATATTCTACATATATAACATCTTACTTTTTAATCTCCAACCCCTTCATTGGAACTTGCAGTTAGCCACCAGCCCACCACAATCTTCTTTACCATGGCCAAACCCATCGCAACCTTTCCTACAATCATTAGGGAAACATGTAGATGAAAACCTCAACGTTCACATCATTAGGCTTGTTTCACAGACACACTCATTCACAACGTTCATCAGAGAGAAGAGTTGTGACCCTTCTCCGATCTCTGCTCCATACTTCCTATCGCTGACGCCAACCACTCCTCTATCCGGTAAGTTTGACTTTCTTTCTCCGGTTACACCTCCTGGGTTGATACATGATGTCTGATTTCTGGAATCGATGAAACATATGAGTCAAAATCGTCATTATCAAATACTTAGATATTGATACCGACAAGAAGAAAGGGGATTTGATCCCTTAGTGCTGAGGATTCACGCACATATATAGAAAATGTGTGAAGAATACAAAATGAATGGGGGTACACGTGATCGATTGGGAAGGAATAGTAGGAGCTATTTGTTCTTTGATTGATACCTAAAATCAATATCAGAAGCTACAATCGATTGAAGGAGGCGAAAGAATGGGCTCGATCTCTATTTTGCTTGGGGTAAAGGATACGAACGTAGAAGCAAACACAATCTCTTCAAAATCGCTGGTTGATTTTTGTGGTAGTGGGAATTGGGAAGACGAGATCATGGGGGTAGCGACCTGCAATGGCCCTTTTTTTTTGTTTGCTCTTCGTCATTGGTACTCACTAATCGAGGGTAGGAAGGAATATGAACGAAATCAGGAAATCGGTGGGTCGGTGGCTCTTAATCGATCACGAGGATAATTTCTCTCTATCTCTTTTCCCCCTTCGTCTTCTTTGATTTGTTCTTTGTTTTCCAATGTACAGGAGTAGATACAGCAAGTATACTTTAATGGAGGTGGAGGTGCAGATGATGGTTAAATAGTGGTCAATGCACACATTTTACAGCTTTACCCGATATAAGGTCACATAAGGATATTTTAAAACAGGAGAGTTGATTCCCTTAATGTACCAAAAAAAAAGTTAGGTGATCTTTTAAAACAAACATAACAAATTCGATGGGCTAATATGACATTTACCCTTTTTATATTTGGTGTAGTTTGAACAATATAATTTATAACAAAGGGCCCTTAATTTTTATATTTTTGCTTTGTGTTTAATTGGCCGATTTATATGATCAATAAAAAGACTTCTTGAAAATTTGAATTTGATTGCATGAAAAATAACGAAAAGTCAGATGGATGTGTGCTTAATATTAAAATGGTGTGTAAAAAAATACCCATTGCGAACAACAATATACTTCTTTTAATTACACATAATATAAAATTTAACTAATGGATAATATTTAGTTTTTCAATCCGTACATATTTTGTATGCAGCTATGTTTAAGTATTAATTCTCTGTACTTTAAATATTTCCTTAAAAGATATAAATATTATTTAGAAATCAATGATATTCTTATTCTTTCTTTTTTTCCAAATCATTTGGAGTTTCAATAATATCTTGTAAATTTGTTTCACATCTTTATTACAATTTACTTTATAAATTACATTATTATATAGAATCATAACCAAAGAAATTATTTGTTTACTACATATGTTAGCCGCGGACATGTTGTTGCTAATGGTGAATGCGGTGGTGGAGAGAAATTATTTGTTTACTACATATGTTAGCCGCGTACATGTTGTTGCTAATGGTGAATGCGGTGGTGGAGATGGCAGTGGCTGTGGTGACGGAAGGGGTGGATACGGTGTCGAAAGGGGCAGAGGGGGTGACAAAGATGTTGACAGTGTTGGCGGTGATAGAGGTGGCATAGTGGTGGTGGTGGACGGGTTAGTAGCGGTGGGGGAGAGGTGGCGGTGGTGGGGATGTCAGTAGTAATGGTGGCGGAGGGGTGGAGATATAGACTATTTATTACAATTACGAGCTCAAATCATCTTTTAGTTCTTTTCAAAGTTTCCATACACTTGTACTTTAAATCCATTGTTTCATATTAACTTGATTTATAAATCATTCCATTTCAATGTTTGATCACCATTAGAATCATCAAGTTGAGTTCACGACAGCATGATTTCTAATAGAATCATATAAAGAGTAAATCATGGACATACAGTTACTCTCTCTAACACTATTATCATAGATTTATTTACAAATTATGGAGCTAATATAATATGTACAACTTATAATAGCTTGAGTGCAAATCTACATTAAGTTAGGATTTCCAAATCTACTATTGGAAGTGGAATCGACCACTCAATTGCTGGAATTGTGATGACTTGATGTTCTATTACAAGTTTAAAGCATTAAATCCGACACAAATTATAGATAGATTTTTGAAATTTGGATTTGCAGTTGAATACAAAAAGCAAAAACCTTGAAACTATTTATATCTGAGATGAAAAAAAAAAACAAAACAAAACATCATTTGACCACAAAAACAGTTTCACCATATTATATATATATATATATATATATATATATATATATATATATATATATATATATATATATATATACCCTTTTGAGCTTCCATTGCTGCAAGATGATAAAGCAAAGTAAAGTTATGTAGAGTTGGATGAGAGTTTGGTTAGTTTGTTGTTGGTAATGAGAAGAAGGCGGCATAAATGTCAGTGTAGATTGCCATGATGCTGGATGAAAGAGCTAATACTATCATGAGGCATGAGAGTCTGGTGTCATTTTTGGTTGCAACTCCATGAGTGTCTTTTAGGGCAACAGCAGCAGGAAAAATGAAACCAACAGAGACAGTAGCTGTGGCACCCGTGAACTGGAAGGCATCCCAAATGCTGGGCACAAAATTTGCTCCAAGAAAAACAAAACCCATGAGACAGGCCGTGAGGAAAAGGAACCGGGGATTGTCAAAAGCAATAGGGAGTCTGGGTTTGGGTTTTGCATTTGCATGAGTAGCAGGGAAAAGAAGGCCATCCACATTGAGGCGCAAGGAGAAAAAGACAACGGGAAAAACAAGCATGAGATGGAGGCAGTAGCTTATTCTCACAACATCATTGATGAACCAGCTATAATGCCCAATTCCAAGATCCCCATTGAAACTTGCAAGCACATCGTCTTGTGTGTCATCACCAAACAGCAGGAATCCAAAAAAGCTGGTTGCCACATACACCGACGAACACACCATGATGGATGTCCTCACTATCGACTTCATCTGGCTTGGATCTTTTAACTCGTTCGCAATCGGGTGAACTGTCAACATCAACATCAACATCAACATCAACAAAATTACACCCAATAAAAACGAGGGTTTGGTTTTACCATTGTGGTGGCAGATATAGGCAGTCACCAATACAGGAACCGTTGTGAAAAGCTTCAAGAATGATGCCCCGTCACCAAGCTCAGGTGGCTGCAAACGTGGCATTCTGATGCTTCCGTTCATTAATTTAATGACCGTTACTACACCCGTCATCACCACAAATACAACTGCTAAACCCACCGACAACGCTGATGTGTATCTTAATGAATCTATTGATATTCCAAACAAAAACCATACAACAACTATTACTATACTAGTCACTCAAATCATCCACAGCTTAAACAAATTAATGAATACAGCTTAAACAAATCCACACCAAGATTTTTTTATTTTTTATTTTTTTTCAAATCTTTAAATACTTTTTGCACAAACCGAATGAGAGAGAAGCTTATATTATACCCGACCGACACGGGTAAAGCGGTATCACAACTTGAATACTTAAGGACCAGTTGTTGCTTGATGTATGCCATGATATTGCTTATGTGGTTGGAAGATTGAGTAGGTTTTCAAATAATCCATTTACTCATCATTAATCATGAGCTAATTAAGGTTTTTCATATGTTGGATTTCTTTCGGTGTAAAAGGATGTGCAAATGCAAGTTGGATAACCAATATAGAAGATCATTCTTCTACAACTTGGGTGTTCTTGTTTGGGAGAAGTGCCATTTTGTAAGCTTCAAAGACTTGGCTTCCAGAAAGTAGTTATGAAAGGCATATTCCAAAAGACTACATCCAAAGGGCCATTCATCAAAAGACTCCAGAAACCCTTTGGATGTATATTCTTGATTAATAAAAATGACTTTAGTAAAGAGTATGTGAAACTCACCTACACGTTTAAAAGATATCAGAGGAGAGAAAACAAGGAGGGTTGTTAGAAGCAGCAAGACAGAACGTGTAGTCCACCATTGTTGACCAAACCATTCTTGCATCACTCCTAAATGGTGTTCCCCTTCGGACCATGTTCCAGATAGTACATCACCTGTCATCACCAGACACCACTAACCACCTTTAATAAATAACATCAAACCATTTATAGTTTAAACTCCAAATGTTAATTAACAAGCACCCCCTCAATAATCTATTATAATGTCTCTTCAATTTTCATATTTATGGAAAATTGCAGATATATCACAAGTCTCATGTTTGCCTCTCTTTCAAATTTGTTTGGAATTGTCAATCTAAAATTGAATTTTACATTGTATAAAACCTATGTCATCTTCAGTCAATCTAAGACCTGAAACAAAAAAGGAGGAGAAAGAAAGATAATAACTAAAGAACAGGTCGATTCACAAGATGTGGAAATGAAATTGACTCATGTGCTGTAGGTTATGCCAACTTGAGAACCTAATTTGGTAGATCCATTTAACAATAACAGAAAATTTGCCAGATTGTTCGACGTCATGATATAAGTTCACAAAGTTGTATGTAGATAACAGTTTTAAAATGAAGGTAACGAAATCGTTCGTAAACAGTTAATACCAATGATGATCATGTAGACGACGAGCAATCCGACATTATTAACGACAATGCCGAGCTGTAACAAAGTTCTTCCGGCACCACCAAAGGCGTCTCCAACTAGGGCGGCGTATGATTTGGACTTGGAAGCTCTACTGAACCTAAGTATCATATCTACCGAAGATTCCGTCAAGATGCCGACCAAAATTATGACAATAAGACCAGGAATCATTCCTAACTGCTTCAGAGTGGCTGGGAGGGCCATGATTCCAGCACCGACAATGGTCGTTGACAGGTTGAAGACGGCCCCAGAAAAAGAGGCGCCAGAGAATCCAGACTCCGATGGGGCAGCAGCGTATTCGTCGTCGTTGTTATGAAGATTTTGGGGGAGGAGAGGGGTTGACCGGAGGACCCGGCGGTGCTTCCGGTCTCCGGCAAACGGCATTTTTGTTCAATCTGTGTACAAGGAAGGAACAATGACAATTGACAAGCTGGGATTGATGTAAATCGGATAATAGTTTAGGCTTTTAGCAACTTTTGTGGAAGGGACCTTTACATGCCATAAATAAACTTATGGTCCGTTTTAACTATAGTTTTAAACATACTAAAATACAAAACCAGTTATTTACGTAATATAACGTTCCTGAAATAGAAAAAAGAAATACGCACAAAAAAATTAAAACAAAAATTCACAATTCTTGTAGGAAGCCAATTTCAGTTTATATACAAATTTATTACATAAATAAATAAGTTATTAATCCTAAATATCTTCAACTTAAAATGTACACATGTGGGTTTAATATAAGTTAAGAAATTAAAAGTTATATTGATGATGTGCCTAATAAATATCTATTGTTATTTAATTTGGAATAATAATAGCTTTATTCAAATATCAATAATTAATCGATTTTAATAAATACATATTAGATCTATTTTAAGATGATAGTGAACCATATGATAACTAAAAATTTACTATCACCATAAATAGTCAAAAAAAATGGGAAGTATTTTAAAAAAATAGACATAAAAATGGATTTTTTCGGATATAAACATGCATTCCGCTGAGGTAGCTCCACGGAGCTCCGCGGAATCTACTGTAACTCCGTGGAATGACAAAATCGTAAATAAATCAATGTATTAAAAAAAAGAAAAAAAAACACTAAAGATCAATTCCTCGGAGCTTCCTCCGCGGAATAAGTTCATTCCTCGGAGGTAACTCTGCAGAGTGGATCTTTAGTTTTTTTTTTTTTTTTTTTCACATCGATTCTTTGGGGTTTATATTTATTTCTCAATCTAATTATTTTTAAGAAAAGATTATCATACTATTATAATCTTTACTTGAAAATAATTAGTTGGGGAATTAATAGAAACCCCGAAGAATCGATATATATATATATATATATATATATATATATATATATATATATATATATATATATATATATATATATATATATAATAAAAAAAAATCCATTTCGCGGAGATGATGTCATTCCGCGAAATGTATGTCTATAGCTGGAAAAATCAAATTTTATGACTAAATTTAGAAATTCACCCCCATTTTTTGTCTGGTATTTTCCATTTAAAAGAGCCCTATTACTTTTCTATATTTAATTGAAATTTTAATAAAGATTGCCAGAGACTTTTTATCCTAGAAAACCTATGTGGGCTTTAAATTATGTATACACTTGTATACTGTAGTTTGGACTTAAAAGAGATTGAGGGGGGCAGAGCATCCGGCATCCCCCCTCATATCTCCGCCCATGGAAGTCGAATCGGACGAAAGAGATCAATGTTCCTCGTCTTTTTTTTTCTTGACTGTTAGACAACAACTAATTCTTTTTTTTTTTTTTTTTAAATTCGATCTAAATTAACTTATACATACCACTTACCAAACGGTCTTTGGCTTAGAGTTATAAACTTATTCCTTCCTTAAAAGAGTTGATGATCCAAACCACGTACGATTTAGAGAGTGTCTCTTATGTGTTTAATATATATATATATATATATATATATATATATATATATATATATATATATATATATATATATATATATATATATATATATATATATATATGGGAATATTTAGGTTCATATATAATACATATCTATTGTGTGAATGTATAACCAATTGTAGACCAATCAATAGATAAGAGTATTATAATGAATTCAATAATTAATAAATTAAATACCAAAATTGTAACTTATTTTTATAAAAGGAAACCTCGTATCATTCAACCTCTTTATCTCTCCCTTCTTCTCGATTGTCCTCACTGACCCTTTTCTCTATCTTCTTGTTGGTTAATTGTTCCCTCAAAATCAATATTGGTCTGGAATCCATGGCTACCATTGCCACTCACTGACACAGATCTTTACCAACACATACCAATAATGAATCACCAACGACATGTTGCCTCTTTCTCTACATCTTCATTCACCCACCTCCGCCTCTTTGCATCTTGATTTGCCTAGCATTGGAACACTGCATCATAGTATGTAAGTAAAGTTAGCAAAACATGTTAATTTAATGTCTGTTTCTCTTTCTGCTACTAGTACCATATCTCTTATGTTGCAGGATTTTAAGGAAAATTACCCTACATATGAAACCTAGGAATGAGAATTTTTCCATTCAGTGATATTGTGGGATTGTGAATTCCCACGACCCGGCCTACTATATTGGACCCCAATTCTCCCATTTTCCATTCAAATAAGCCCCAATCCTTATTTTTCAACCTAAATAAAAAAAAAAGGGAGAAATTGTAAGGAATGAAGGCTGAAAGGATAAACAAATCAAATTCTTAATGATTACTTTTTAGTCTTGTAATTGAATGTAAAATCATATCGCAATCATGTTCTAGGCTTCCTTTATTGACTGTAAGTTTTTTTTTTTTTTTTTTTTTTTTTTTTTTTTTTTTTGCTTCGGGCAGTTAAAAAAAGCGTAACCTCTATCTTCATTAGTTCATCAAGTTTGTTTTCCATTTTCTTATTTGTTGTTGTTTTTTTGTTGTGCTATTTTTATGTGCTTAAGGAAGTTTGCCTTCACTTGTGTTTTTTATGTGCAGATAGAAGTTTAAGTTATATTATATACCTACAATTTTACCTTCTGCAATGTCTATGATGCTAATGATTGCAAGAAAATAGTATGATTTCAATTTCAAGACAAAGCAATTTAGTTATGGAGTCTCATTTTAATTCCTACCATCTTGAATGATTACAATGGTACATTTGATTTTTATTAAAAAAAATAATAATAAGAGGGGAAAGGAAATCACTTACATTAGTTTCTAATGTGCAAAGTACCATTCAAGACATATCAAACATAACTTGTGTGTGGTTTTACCTTTTAGTACAGTAAATGAATCACAAAATCTTGACATCTATTCTTTATGTGCAATAGCATATTCATTATTTACACAAAATCTTAGCATATACATTATGTACACACTACACCATATTATTCATATGACCTTGAAATTAACTTAGTGGTTTTGTCTTGTTATTTTTTTTTTCATGTGAGCTTGAAATTAACTTAGTTTTCTTTGTGTTCAAGTAGCCTAACATAGTTGAGGAGCAACAATTAGCAAAGTCTATGGACTCAGTTAAGAAGGTGATCCCTTTTCCTGAGCCTGAGCTCTTGAATTTTTTACACACACATGAAAAAGGAGAATCGCAGAGGAAAAGAAAGGAGGATTGTTTTTTTAATCTTGAAGTGTTATCTTCATTGACATGATTTTTATAGAGATGCAGTAGTAATTATATTTATTCTCTTTGTTTCTATAATATTCTTTCAGAATATACATTAAAAAAAAAAAAAAAAAAACCTTATTCTTTAAGAATGTATATTCTTTCCTTATGTATTCGTAATTTTGCAGAATGCAACAACCAGTTATACTATCATTTGTATTAGGTTTTATAAAAACTTCATTCTTTTAGAATGTATATTCTTTTAACATTTATTAACAATTTTGTAAAATGCATCAACAAATTATATTATGATTTTTATTAGTTTTTATATGATTCTTATTAATTAGAATATACATAATCTTTATCTTTAAGAATGTGTAATTCACATAGAATATCTATATGAACTCTTAAACTTTAAGAATGTTTTTACTTTTAAAAGAATGAATGCCTAATAATAAAAAAAAATAACCAAATGAATAAAGATATTCTTAAAGAATTTCATATCTTATTCTTCAAGAACATATATTTTTACTGTTTAAAAAAATTTGGTTATGCAATTAGAATTAATGTTTTGTTCTTCAAGAATGTTATACTATGTTTTAAGAATGTCAGTTATGACATCTAATTAATGTTTTATTCTACAAAAATTTCTTACGAAAATATCATTCATAATCTTTCGTATCATCAAGCATGGAGTTTTAATTCATAAATCGATTCTTAACGATTTTCATGATATATAAAAAGTTATACTTTTAATGAAGATTGATTCTTAATTTTGTATCAACCCTAAGAATTGTTAAAAGATTATAATTGTTAAGCATAATAATGACATAAAATAAGTCAAATTAATTCTTAATTGTTCTCATGATCAATACAAAAAAAATCAAATATCATAAGTGGCGAAAAAAGAAAACACAAATCTTAAAGAATGAAGTATGTTTCAAATTTTTTGAGTATTATGTAAAAAACGACTATAGTTCCTATGAAAATTCACCTTCCATATATATTTTTTAACCTATATTACAACTAATTAAATGCAATTATATGGTAAATGCTACTATATGTTAATAACATGTACCCTCGTATCATTAACCCTTCATTTCTTTTAATCCAATGAACAAAAATTAATCATACATTCATACAATATTTGAAGTTCACATTTGATCGTAACCTTATAAGGGAAATAGTCAAAGATATACAAATTTTTATGAAAACATATAACGATCTTAAACCATAAGTTGGTCACTCAAATACAAATTTATAGCACAAAAAGTTGTTAGTTTAACGATTTATATATTCACTTTTAAAGCATATATCAAAGGTAAAATTAAATATCAACAAACGACCAAATAAGTGGGTATCACTATCACGATTTTGTTAGTTATCTTAAAATGATCATAAATTTTGCATTAGGCACCATTATAATTGCAAAATCATTATTAGACAAAAAAAAAAAAAAAAAAAAAAAAAAAAAAACTTCAAAAAACAGGAGATATAAGAAAAATCGTATACTTTTTAGAAGTGATTTGTTGATTTTACCCTCCAATAATTTACAAGTCCAATATGACATCGTATAATTTCACCATATATATAATCATTATATATTTATAAAATCATATGTAGATGTATTTGTTTTTACTGAGTAAAAAAACAAAACAATATGTAGCTTTCAGCTTACCGAATTAAGTTTTATGTCCTAATGATGAGTCCGGATTTGCAAAGTGTATCATTCGAAATGTAGTTTTTTTTTTTTTTTTTTTTTTTTTTTTAATATAAACTTTTTTTTCTAATTAAAAATAAATAATCTTCATACCAAATGTTCTAATTTTTCTCTTTGTTGTTTATAGGAAGAAAATAAAAATTTTA